AGCTCTTATTGTTGCTGCTTCTGAGCATTTATCCATGGTGATTAACATTAATACTATTAAAACAGAAACTGCCTGTGAACCTGCGTCCCCTGGCAGTCAGAAAGGGTGAGCTGTGAGGACGGAAGCCATTTTCTCTTCTGAAGCTAGTTTCCCGGGAGAGAGAATAGTAAAGAATAAGGAAATTACTGCATATAGAAGTGACAAAATGCCAGACTCCGTGCATTTTCTATTTATGTCTTTTAACCCTGAACAACTACCTATGAGGACAGTCCCCGTGAGATGATGTGGAAACTAAGTCCTTCACCCAGCTTATTTAAGCTCGGAAGTGGTTTAACAGCAAAGAATATAGGGACATGTCCTCCCTCCTGTTCATTTCAGTATTCATGTCCCTAGGAAAGTACTTGCAGTTTACCCAACAGGCAGTCACACATACAATTTTATAAATGAATGAAAGATGGATGGATGGCGTGAATCAACTAAGGTGAGTGAGTTTCATATCCAGCTGTATCAAATGACCAAAAGCTTGGTGGCTTAAAATAACACAATATGTATTGAGTTGGTCAAAATGTTTCCGTAGGCTATTACAGAAAACTCAAACAAACTTTTTGGCCAACCCAATATTATAATTCTGGAGGTCAAAGTCCAATATGGGCCTCCCTCGGAAATATCAGGGGCTCCCCTGGTGGCCCAGATGGTAAAGAATCTGCCTGCAATGCAGGAGGCCCAGGTTCGACCCCTGGGCCAAGAAGATCCCCTGGAGAAGGGAATGGCTACCCACCCCAGTATTCTTGCCTGGACAATTCCAGGGACAGGGGATCCTGGTGGGCTACAGTCCATGGGATTGCAAGGAGTTGGAAACGACTGAGTGACTTAACACATTCATTTTCCCTTTTCAGGAAATATCAAGATGTCAGCTGTAGGGAAGAATCCATTTCCTTGGCTTTTCCAGCTTCTTGAAGCTGCTCACATTGCTGCCTGGTGGCCCCTTCATTCATCTTCAAAGCTGACTGTTTCATCACTCCTGCCTCTGATTCTTTCATCACACCTCCCTCTGATTCCCACTCCTCCTCTGCCCCCCTCTTCCACTTTTAAAGACCTTGTTATCAGTTTCTGCTGTAAGAGGGGCCGATTAAACAGCCTGAATTCCATCTGCAACCTTTACCATGTCACCTAACAGATTCACAGCTTCTGGGAATTAGGACGTGACCATCTTTGGGGGTGGCAATTGTTTTGTCTGCCACAAAAAGCTTTGTTAAAGGTGTGAAATCTATCTTGCCTGTCTCAGTAGAGAAGTAATTTTTTTCTGAACCTGTGAACCATGGTTTGTTTGCTTCCTTGGATATTTAACCATGCACACATCACCTGGGGCATCTTTTTGCATCTTCCTTGCTTTGTAACCTGCAAAGCCCTCTCTGACCCTGCCATGTTCAGTAATTACCTGTTGAGGAAATGAAAGAATGAAATGGAAGAGCTTTTGTTTAAAACTAGATCGATTTGGTCTAAAGGACATGGGGACCATTTTGATTTAAAACGGTAAAATTTGAGCATTAAAAAGAAGAATGGCTGTAATCGATTGAAACCCACCAAATATGTAACAAAACTACAGTTTCATAGTGAATCTAGGCAGAGTCTAGGTTCACCTCAACATTTGGACTCTCAAGACCTCCGTAGGCCACACTCAACTCCTTCTGCGTAACTCAAGGGTGGAGCACAGCGTTCGTGTCCACTGTGAGTGCAGCGTTAGACGTTCTTCTGCGGGTGCCCTTGTCTCAGGTCACACTGCAGCCTACAGCTCTCCGGGAGGTGTTTCTCCCCAAGTCACAGAGCACCGGTGCAAGGAGATTCAGTCCACATCAGGCAAGTGTGGGAGCCGTCTTAGCTTAAGTGTTTCATACCCCACAGTTGCCAGCATCTTCTGTAGGAACTCATGGGCCTAGCTTCCAGCGTCCCACAAGGGACATGCATAGGTCCAAGAATGACCTTATTCAGGGGAGTTCAGAGGATGCTTCCCTATTCAGAATGTATGGTTCATTTACAAGTCCTCTCATCCAGATGTAATTTATCAATCAGACATCATTTTTATAATAAGCCATGTCACCTAGTATCACATTTGATGTTCTTGCCCTTCTGAAGTTTTCATGTAAAAGTTAGCCAAAGCTCAGGTTCTCAGGGAGTTGGGAAAAGTTTTATTAATCTTTTGCTCTCATACCAGAACAAACAAGCAAATAAACCAATGAACAAACTCCCAACTCATTTGTCACCCTTGGAGGTTGCTATGACACCAACTCTTTAATTAGCAAAGACTCAAACATCTATCCTAATTATGAGCTTTATGTCAGAGTAACTGCATTGTTGAGGAGAAAAGTCCTTCTTTTTGAAGAATTATAGCTTAAAAAATATAGAAGAAATAATAGAATTAGAAACTGTGATTTTTTTTCGCAACCCCTAATGGTATCATAGATCTAGCTAACAATTACAGTGCATACTGAGACCATTAGGTGAAAGGTTAATAGGGAATTTCCTGGTATAGGGATGTTGCTGGCACCATTCGAACCTGTGATCCATCTTTGTATTTCATAGAGTCATACACGCATAGTATGACTTTACAGGAAACACATGTTACCACCACTAACGGTACATTTTTGAAAACAAATTGAATCTGACTCTAATCAAGACCTTAGATCTAACTAGTTGTTTGAGGAAAAACAGAGGATAGAAGAACCATGACACCCTTCGAAGCAATCAGCCAATCCCAGAATGTTGGAGATTCTGCAGGATGAGTGACCTGGTTTTCCCAACAAATCAGTGGCATGCAAAGGAAAATGGAATGGCAGAATGATATAGTCTAAAGTGGACTTAGTCAACATTGTGGGATTTTCTTTGGTTCTTGAATTAAACTTTCCACTGTAAAAATTATTTTGGGACACTTGAAGTAGTTTGAATAGTGACTGATACTAATTATTGGAATTATTGTTAACATTTCAAATATGATAGGGTTAAATGATATTTAATATAATGACATCAAGATTTGGTAAAACTGATATACATAAACATATATATACACTTATAGACACACATGTGCACTTAAGTGTGTATATATACATGTGCATTCACTTTTGTGTATGTGTATTTATATACTCTGCATGTCTTAGTCATCTCTGACTCTTTGCAACCCCATGGACTGTAGCCCGTCAGGCTTATCTGTCCGTAGAACTTTCCAGGCAAGAATACTGAAGTGGGTTGCCATTTCCTCTTCCACAGGATCTTCCAGATCCAAGGACTAAACCCATGTCTCCTATATCTTCTGCATTGGCAGGCAAATTCTTTACCACCGTGCCACCTGGGAAGCCCGAATATATGTATATAAACATTATATATATATACATACACACACACATATAATCCTGATAGTTAATGATACATACTGAGGAAATTCAAAGTAAAATGAAATATCCTGGATTTGCTTTAAAATGGTCAGACTTTGAAGAGTAAATATTTGATTGGTAAATATTTACAATTTTCAAAGTTGAATAATGATTACATTGGGAATCCTACTATTCTACTTTTAAATGCTTAAAAATATCCATAGTAAAGTTTTCTTAAACTCATATTTTACAGTCAGATGCCATTTTCTATCAAATTGGTAAAAATGTTTCAGTAGAGGGACTGGTGAAATAAGGACCCTAGGCATTGACGGGGAGCTTTTCTGGAAAGTGGTTTTAGCATGATGTCCCAGGAAGCTTAAAAATGGTTACATCTGACCCACATTTGATATCCTTTGTGGAAATAATACTGAAGAGATCGTTGTGACTATCAAAAACTCTTTACAAAGGATATTTATTTCAGGTTATTTTAGATTTTGAATTTTGCGAGTAACCCAAATGTGTACCACTAAAAGAACGAGTCATTGAATCATGGTACATCACATTGTGAGATATTTTGCAACTATTATAGAAGAAACTTTTTCAGTTTTTAAATACCATTGGAAGATGCCTGTTATAGCAATAATTGGAAAAAGGACAAAATTGTACTTGGATCTATGTAACTAAAATATGTGCAGAGAAAAAAACTGAAAGCAAATACAACAAAATGCTTTCATTGGTTCTGATGGGGTGGTAGACCTATAGTTAATGAGGTCTTTTTCTATGTTTCTTTATTTTCCAGATTTTTCTATTGTGAGCATAAATTAACTTTGTTGTTTGTATCTTTTAATAGTTTTATAGAGGTATAACCAAGATACCATAAAATTCACCCACATTGAAAACAGTCTGATGCATATGTGTATCTTTAGTTGTATAACCACTGTCACAATCAAGTTTCAGAATCTGAGACCCTGTGAAGTATCTCACAAATATTTCTTGAGTAGACTTCATTTTTAGAGCAGTTTTGGATTTACATAAAAATTGAGAAAACAGTACAGAGAGTTTGTACATACCCTGTACTCAGATTCCCCTATTATTAAAATCTTTCATTCCTACAGTACATTTGTTACAAAATAATGAACCAATACTGTTACTTTATTATTAATTAAACTCTATTTAGTGTTCCGTAGTTTTTAACATCCTTTTTATGTTCCAGGATTCCATACAGGATACCATGTTACATTTAGTTGACACACCTATAAATTAATTTTTAATTGGAAAAAAGTAAATTTTAATTTTAAAATCCTCCAAATATTTAACCATCTTCTCTTAGCCTTGTTGATGTTGTTGATTTATGGCTTGTTGAGAAAGACCATGTCTTATATTAGTTATATTTCATGTAGTTTCCAACATGGTTGGAATTTTATTAAATAAGATTCTGCTACTTTATTCACTGTGCTTTTCTAACTGTGGAAGAGGAGAAGAGGAGCATGGATGAGTGGAAGAGGAGAAAAGGAGAGAAAAGAAAAAAGAAAGACCTTGCCCACAAATAATTGAAAAACCTCAGCACTCTGAGGGACCTATGGTTTCTGTTGCAATTTTATGTAATGGAATTCTCTTGACCTCTGTGTTTCCCAGATTGGAAATTGCAACCCTAAATCGGGCAGACTCAGATCTGGAAGCTTGTCGAACTCAAATCAGCAAAGATATCATTGCCCTTCTGCTGAAAAATCTGACCAGCAGGGGCCAGCTCTCCCCTCAGGTGGAGAGGAGGATGGGTGCTGTGTTCAAAAAGCAGTTTCTGTTGCTGGAGAAAGAAATACAAGAGGAGTATGATCGGAAGATGGTGGCTCTGACGGCTGAGTGTGACCTGGAAACAAGAAAGAAGACAGAAAGCCAGTACCAGAGGGAGATGGCAGCCATGGAGGAAGCAGAAGAGGTGCTGAAACGTGTCAGTGAGAGGGTAAGGCAGCTTTGAAAGGGAGCCTTTCTTTTGCCTCCCTCCTTCCTCTCAAGGATTCATCATTTACCCATCCATCCATTTTATCCATCCATCCGTCCATCCATTCTCCCCACCTGCCACCCTTCCATCTGTCCCATCTACTTATTCATCCATCCATTTATTCACTCACGGCTCATCCATGCTTCTGTCCATCCAACTCCCAACCCATCCATCCATCCAACTACCCCCATTCTATCTACTTGTCCATCTGCACATCCATCCATCCATCCACTTATCTATCCATTTATCTACCTACCACTCTTCCATCCACCTGTCCATCTACAGATCCATCCATCCATCCATCCAACCACCCAGAATTCATTTAGAAAGCATTTACTGATCACTGCTGTCTAGGCAGTGAAGGTGCAGAGAATGCTGAGATGTGGTTCTTGCATTTGAGAAGTTCATAGTCTAATGAAGGACTGTATATCCTCACATATAACAAGTATGACTTCATTCAACTGTGTTATAACAGAGGCACATTCAAATGCTGTGGAAGGTCATGGGTAGAAAGGCTTCATTCTGGGAAGGCATGGCTCAGGGGGCTGTGATGGCAGTGCACGCGTATCCGTCTGGATTGCACTGCACTAGGTCACGGTTCTGTCTCCAGCACGGGCTCTGGAACCAGACAAACCTGGACTCCCCTCTGCTCCTGAAGGCCCTGATTAGCTTCTGTAAGTCTGTGAATCAAAACTGAGGGCACCCGCCTCTCTGAGCAGCTGGGAAAAGTGATGCAGGAAAGGAGTCCCCGGGCCTGGGCTACAGAAGGCTCTCCTGCACAATGTGGGGTCTGGGAGTTCTGATCCGTCAGCCTTTCCAGGGCCGACCTCTGTTGATCAGAGAGCAGCTCTCATTTTTCTAAAAGAGTGTCAGTTGCTATCTTGAAAGGGATCATGCCAGAGTGCTTTTTTCCCAAGTGCACCAAATCTAGACTGATTTCTTCCTTCCTCCATGGAAGAGATGGTGGTTGACTCCAGTGACTTGAGCCCTGACATCTCCTGATCCACAGGGAGGTCTAACATCTACTTAGGGACAAGCTTCTCAACTCCTAACGTCCATTCCCCAGACTGTGCACAGAATTACCCAGGAGTGAGTAGAGCTCTTGGGGTGACGCCTCCTGGCTCTCACAGGGTCACCTGTGGTCAGACCATGGACTGGGCAGTAAAGCAGAGAGGAGTGATTTACACTACCTCACTCCCACCCACTCCCCTGCAACTGGAGTCCCTTCACCTCAACACCCATCTCATTTTAGGGATGAGAAAATAAGTGTGACTTATCTTCTGTTCGGTTCTTATGTGAATCTCCTGCATCTGCTGTAACAAATGAGCACAGACATAGTGACTTAGAACAACAGAAACTCATTCTCTCACAGTTCTGGAGGCCAGAAGTCCAAAATCACAGTGTCAGCTGGACATTCCCCCTCTGAAATCTCTTGGGGAGAAATCCCCCCCACTCCCGCCTCTTCCAACTTCTGGTGGCTCCAGGCATTTCTCAGCTTGTGGCCACAGCCCTCCAATCTTAAACTCTGTCTTCACATGGCCCCTTGACGCTGTCACCTTCTCTTCCATCTCATCTTTTGATATAGGGCTCACCCAGATAATCTAGGATGACCTCATGAGATCCTTAAGTACATCTGCGAAGACCCTGCTTTCAAAGATCACATTCATCAGGTGCTGGAGTTAGAAGGAGGATGTATCTTTTTAAGGAGGGGGCACTGTTTAGCTCACCGTGGCTCCCCTAGCTGATCTCCATCCATGACTCCATCCATGACTTTACAGGTCAGGACCGTGTTTCCTTGAGCTCAGCAGTTAAAAAGAATGCATTCAACAGAGTTAGTGATTCAGTCCCAAACAGCCTCATTCTCTCTCTCTCTCTTGTTTCCTAAATTTGTTCTAATTTTTTTTTCTGATAAAAATAATACACATTCAATAAGAATGACTTGAGAAGGACTGGAAGGCAGAGGTCAGCAAGCTGGGACCCAGGAGTCCAATCCTGCCTGGCCTTTTTCTGTCTGACCCTTGAGAATGGTTTCGTCATTTTTAAAGAATTACAAAAAATAAAAACAAAACAAACAAAAAAAGAATATGTGACAGGACCCAATGGGTCCTGCAAAGCCTAAAATATTTATCTTGTTCTTTACTAAAAGCTTGCCAACTCCAGCTTCCCAGCATAAAAAGAACTGCCCCCCCCCAAAAAAAATTGAAACCCATCTGACCACTCAAAAGCAGACCAACATTCCTTCAGCCTGTTTGTTGAGTTCTGCTGTGTCTCAGCCTAGAGACATAGCTATGCTAAAGGCCCCCACTCCTGTCCTAGGATTTCAGCATAAGCCTTTTGCTTTAAATATATATATATATTTTTTACAGAGTGAGGTTTATGCAGTTCATTAACGGTTTATCATGCATGTTTCCACTCACCATCACAGTACAGTTTCTGATTTCATGAAACGCTCTCACACTTGCTTAGCCCATTCACTATGGGCCAAGAATTGTTCTAAGCTCATCACCTGGACCTTCTCTTCAAATATTCACACTCACTCAGGGAGGTGGCAATTGATAGGATCCCATGTTTATAGGTAAGGAATCAGATGGAGAGAAGGTCACCTGCCCTAGGACATGTGGGTGGACCAAGACTCACACAGGCAGCTCATCCCAGTGACTGCACCTCACGGCCACCTGGGGTGATGCAGTTTTAAATGTTGGCTCATTATTTACACTGGCTGTTGGGGGCATGAAGAAGGGGTGACACACAGTGTTCTGCCCCATCCCTGGAGGGGCCAGGGTAGGGGGACCATCCCTCTGGATCCCCCAGGCCACCTTGTCCAGAGAACAGCCTGTTTAAGCCAACCTGCTTCCAAAAATACCATCTGAACGGCAAAAGGTTTTAGAGCTATTTCCCTTTTGGTCTGTGCAAACCATTCCATCTTAGAAAATGTTGATGACTTTGTACTTATCTGTTCATTCATGATAGTCATCTTTAAATAAAAATGCATGAAAATATGTCAGTCATATCATTCTTCCAAAAATTAGCTTGAAAAAAAAAATGGGCAGTATCAGTTTTCTTGAGTAAAGTTTAGGAATTCCAATAATTAGTATAGCAGTGAATTCTGTTCACATTGAAAGGCCTGTGTAATCCCAAACAGTTTCCAAAGCATTTCTCCAGGGAGAGGCTCTTGGGGGGCCAGTGCTGACTACGGACTCTGAGTGCAGGTGGCTTAGGTTTAGAGCTCACTCTGTTGCTCCAGGTGCATTGCTCAGGCTCCTTGGGTCTTGGTTTCCCCATCCTTAAACTGGGGATAATGATGACTCCTGTCTTATAGAACGGTTAATATTAATACCTGTGTAGGACTTAGACCAGAACTTGGCACTGTCGGCCCTGTTCTGTACAGTGTTTATCATGTTTCATTATTTCGTGTAACTTTAAAGAAGCCCATGGCATAAAACAGCCAGCCTATGAAATCTTTTCAGTTTGAGCTGGGGAAACAGAAGCCCAGAGGGGAAGTGACTTGCCCAGCTTCCTGCAAGCAGCCACTAGCCGTTCAGGGTATGTGCTGTGTACAGGACTCTTCCAGATCTGCTGGCTTCCTAGCTGCTCGGAGAAGAGGCAGCGCCAGCACCACCTGCCCTAGGCTCCCTGAAGTCTCCTAACTCCCCTCTGTGTGTCCTAGAGGGAAGAATGCCTTACGTGCAAGAACTCTTATACTGTAACCACCCCTGGTGGATTTACTTCTATAAAACATTTTTACAATCTGCTCAGCCTGCTAAATTGAGTACAGCAAGTGTCATTTAGTACAGTCATAATTTCTGAACACGATTTCACATTTTTGATGGTGTAGTTGAGTTCAGTTCAGTCACTCAGTTGTGTCCAACTCTTTGCAACCCCATGGACCGCAGCATGCCAGGCTTCCCTATCCAGCACCAGCTCCTGGAACTTGCTCAAACTCATGTCCATCGAGTCAATGGTGCCATCCAACCATCCCATCCTCTGTCGTCCCCTTCTCCTGTCTTCAATCTTTCCCAGTATCAGGGTCTTTTCCAAGGAGTCAGTTCGCATCAGGTGGCCAAAATATTGGAGCTTCAGCTTCAACATCAGTCCTTCCAATGAATATTCAGGACTGATTTCCTTTAGGATGGACTGGTTTGATCTCCTTGCAGGCTTAGAGACTCTCAAGAGTCTTCTCCAACACCACAGTTCAAAAGCATCAATTCTTCAGTGCTCAGCTTTCTTTATAGTCCAACTCTCACATCCATACATGACTACTGGAAAAACCATAGCTTTGACTAGATAGACCTTTGTCAGTAAAGTCAAGTCTCTGCTTTTTAATATGTTGTCTAGGTTGGTCATAGCTTTTCTTCCAAGGAGCAAGCATCTTTTAATTTCATGGCTGCAGTCACCATCTGCGGTGATTTTGAACCCCAAGAAAATAAAGTCTGTCACTGTTTCCATTGTTTCCCCATCTTGATGGTGTAGAGTCAGCCTGAATAGCAATTGCCAGAATAGCCTGGCTCAGGCCTGCGATTCTTGAGCCAGGATTGAAGTGCCCTGTCCTGGTCAATGCCACCCAATCCCTCCATGCAGTTTGCCTTTTCACACATTTGAAGTCAAAGTATCAACATGCCTCTGTCTGAAAAGTCTATTTTAGTGGAAAGTTCAGTAGGGAGTTGGAGTGAATGACCATTATATTAATGTATCTTTAAAAATGCACATTTGTTACCAATTTTTAAAATATAAAAATTTGGATGAAAACCCAGACTTTCAGCTTCTCTTTAAAAAAAATGGGAAGATGTGGCCACACCGAGTGCATAGTCCGGCAGAGCCTCACTTGGTGGGTTGACGGTGGCTGGCCCTGTAGGCAGGGCTTTCTGTCTCCACCTTGCCCCACTCCCCACCTCTCTCTAGTATGTCCCATGCCAGGCCACTTCACACGACCTCTCCAGGTTGGCAGGTCTGGGAAGGGGTGTCCTTTGCTTTAGAGTTTAGTCTCTCATCTGTGCGACAGGAGGGCTGAACTGGAGCAGGGGATGAACACGTTTCTGTGGATCTCTAGACCCCTTTAGGAGGGCAGTATACACATACATGGGGGTCTCCCATCAAAAGTTGCTTCAAGGAGTGTTCCACTATGACAAACACGTCATTGCCTCATGCCTTATTCTTCTGCAGAAATACTGCAGATTCTATACCACTGAGCCACCTGGGAAGGCCCACTATTATAAGCAAGCACAGATAATCATCTTTTAGGATTTGTGTGTGTGTGTGTTCTTTTGGTCCTGGCTGTGAAAAGTTTAACGGATTTTATCCCATGTTTCATTCTTATTAATTGAAATAAATGGAGGCTTGTTGAATTCCATACAGTCAGAAAAAGAAGGTCACTTTGTTGGTTGAATGGACCCTCTTAGGTACCACCTACTCCCCTGAGATGCTGTTAGGCAGAACATCTCTGTAATGCCCAGAGTCAGGGTCCAACACCCTTGTAGTGGCTTGCATTCTCTAACGTAGATTGAGTCAGCTGTGAATAAACTCTCTCTGCAGAAGAGTGACTAGGAAAAGTCTCATCCAGTCCTTTGTATAAAACCAGTTTTTAAAGAGGACCGTGATGTTTTCTGGCCTCCGAGGCCAACCATTAACCATTGGACTGGCTCCAGGATGTGGCTGCGGGGACAAAAACAGAAGTCCTCTGGGTTCTGGTGCTGTGCCTGGGGCTCTTCACATGTGCCAGGCTCTCTGGGATGGTCCCCGAGGGCAGAGATGGTCCAGTGCCAGCAGCTAGCTGCTTGGGCCCCAAATAAATAACACTCCTCTTTCTGAGCCAGACTCTGAACACATTGAAAAGTCAGTCAGAGAAGCTAAAATGGGTGTATCACTGTGATGGGCTTTTGTGAGCAATTGGAGGTGGAGGTGGGCAGGTCTGTGATGTGGGGGATTGGGAGATGGGGATACTGAGGATGCAGAGCAGAACAGAGACGCAGAGCACGTGATTCTCCTGTTCAGCTGGAGGAGGTGGAGCCCTCTCCCTGTCATCACCCCTCTGCCCTCCCTGGGTCTCTGCTCAGCCTGGCCATAGCTGCCATCCCATGCCCTCTTAACGTTGACCTCTGAGACTGCTGTGCCCTCTACCTCCCAGACACATATATCTTCCCCTGACACGCTCACCAACATGTCACCCTGTCTGGTGTCTTGGAGCCTAAACATTTGGCTTTGACACCTCTGCTCCTCTCCCAGGTGCTGGCAGGAACTGGGGAACGAGGCTTAGCTTGTGTTTCCTGAGCTTTCGTGTAAAGTGTGTTTACTTACCAGACCGCCACACCTTTAGCAACTTAAATGATGCTTACCTTCTCAGAGTTTCCGTGGTCCAGAGTCTGGATGCAGTGTAACTGGGTCCTTTGTGTGTGGGGGGTGGGGGTTGGTCTCACAAGCTGGGCATCATGGTCTCAGCAGGGCGGCCTTTGCTCCCCTGGAGCTCAGGGCCCTGGTCCCAGCTCAGCCCAGTTGTTGGCAGAGTTCACTTCCTTGTGGTTGTAGGACTGAGGCCCTCGGCTCCTGTAGGCGTCCCTTCCCAGTAGACAGTTCACACATGTGGCTCGCTTCCTCCAAGTCAGGAGGAGAGGGGCTCCCTTCTCAGGAAGATCTCGTCTCTCTTTTCAGGGCTCTCCGTATTATAAGTCAGGTCCACCCAGAATAACCTCCCTTTTGATTAACTCAGAGTCAGCTGATTAGGGACCTTAATTACATCATCGACACCTCTTCAGCTTTTCCACAGAATAATCTGATTGTGGCAGTGACAGTCCCATCATCTTTAAAGTTTATGTCCCCTGAAAAGGAGGGGATTCATGTGATGTCTATGCCAGGGGCCAGGGATCTTGGAGTCTTCTTAGAATTCTGCCCCTGCAAGTGGGATTACTAACACGCCCTCCTGCAGCGTGAGTCTCTCAGATGCTGGGAGTGCAGATGCATCAGGAACTCAGTGAAAGTGTGCCCCCTGCCTTCTCTCTAGACCATGGAAAGTGCAGGCATCCCAGAGCCACTTCTTACCTCCTCTTTGCCTCCCTTTAACACAAATGATCTCAGCTTGGGCCTGATCACTGGTATTTTTCTCTTCAACTAAGTTAAGAATGAAAGATGATGGAAATAAGCTTGAGAGGCCTAATAGCACAGTCCATTGATGTTTCCATTTTGCAGGTTATTTTCAGGCAGTTTGATTTGAAGATTTCCACCCTTATGAGTTTTCTTGAGATGGTTCTGTGTATGTGTGTATACATGTGTGTGTTCCATGTGGGTGTGCACACATGTGTTTGCATGTGCAAGTGTGCACTGTATGTAAATGTATTGCTCTGTGTGCATATGTGCATGTATGTGCACTGTTGTTGCTGTGTGCATTTATATGCACTGTGTGTGTGCATGTGTATGTTTGCTGGTACATGCATGTATGCTGTGTGTATATGTGTTTACATGTGCATGCATGTGTGTGCTTCTTTGTGTTATATGTATGTGCATTATTGCTATGTGCATTTATGTGCACTATGCATGTGTGTGTTGATGGTGCATGCATGTGTCCTGTGTGTACATGTGTATTGTGTGTGTGCCTGTATGTGTGTGCATGTATATGCATTATTTCTGGGTGTGTTTACGTGCACTATGCATGTGTTTATGTGCACGTGTGCATGTTGGTGCTGCATGTATATGTGCTGTGTGTACATGTGTATGCATGTGTATGTAACTTTACATATGTGTGTATTTTTGCTATGCATATCAATGTCCAATGTGCATATGTATGCTGATGGTGCATGCATGTGTCCTGTGTGTACATGTGTGTGCCTGTATGAGTGTGCACGTATATGCGCTATTGCCAGGTGTATTTATGTGCATTGTGCATGTATGTTGGTACATGTATGTGTGCTGTGTGTACACATTTGCACACATATATACGTGTGTGTGCTTGCATGTTGCAGGTATGTGCCTGTACACACCTGGCTGGTGTATCACCGCCCACGCATTCCCTCTTTTCTCCGCAGTCTGCCCTTGAGTGCAGCAGCCTCCTGCGGACCCTCCATGGCCTGGAGCAGGAACACCTGAGGAGGTCGCTGGCTCTGCAGCAGGAGGAGGACTTTGCCAAGGCCCACAGGCAGCTGGCCATTTTCCAGAGGAATGAACTGCACAGTATCTTTTTTACCCAGATAAAAAGTGCTATTTTCAAAGGAGAGCTGAAGCCAGAGGCAGCAAAAATGCTGCTGCAAGATTACTCTAAAATACAGGTAATGCCTCAAATGAGGCTCCCTCTGATAGAGGAGTCATTTTCCTGAGCTGTTTCACTAAATGTCTCCTCTCCCCGAGTTAAGTCCTGTCTCTTTTGTGCTGGGTTCCAGTGAACTAACCCTGTCTTCCTTCCACCTCTTGATGTAGAGGGTAGCTTTCCAGTAAGCAGGGCAAATGATAGCTTGAAGCACAGGCCCTGTACTCAGGCTCCCCTGGACTTGAATTCTAGTTCCACCACCTGTCAATAAAGCAAATTGCCTAGTGTCTCTGAGTCTCAGCTGCCTTATCTGTAAAATGGAAGTAATAGAGTCCCCATACTAAAAGCAGCATGATGCAGATTTAATCTAATTCACAGAAAGCCAGTGCTTGGCACAATATATGTTTAAGTATATAGCAGTTAAAAATAGAAATATATAAGTGCATATATGTACGTGTGTGTGCACATGTGCGGTGATGTGTGCCTAGGGCTTATGATCTCTGCCTTCATAGGCTTGTGTGAATTTGTGGGTGTTTTTGCATGGAAGCTTGAGTGTCATTAATCCAGACAGAATGAATTCCTGGATGACTGTGCACACACTGGATTGGCCAAAAAGTTCATCTGGGTTTTTCTGTAACCTTTTAAGCCAAACGAATCTTTTGTCCAAGCCTATAGTTTATATGAGACTGTCACTATTTTTACGAGGCCTGCATGTCTTTTACCTGCACTTGTATGCGTGTGCTTAGTCGCTCAGTCGTGTCCGACTCTTTGCGACCCCATGGCCTGCAGCCCGCCAGGCTTCTCTGTCCATGGAGGTTCTCCAGGCAAGAATACTGGAGTGGGCTGTCATGCCCTCCTCCAAGGGGATCTCCCCAACCCAGGGATGGAACCCAGGTCGCTCGCTCTGCAGGCGGGTTCTTCACTGTCTGAGCCACCAGAGGAGCCCTGTATACACAGAATGAAGTCACTGGTGTGCAGTCACACCCCGGAGTTCCGGTCCTGACTCAGGCCCTGTGAGTAAGGGTTGTGACAGAGCAGAGCCATCCCAGGAGGTCAGGTGGCCCTCGTGAACCTTCTGGGAAGAGAGGACCCCTCTCTGAAGGTACTGGACATCTGAGCATGAAGAGAACTAGCCAGCCTCTCCTTTTCCTCTTGGTTTTTCCCACTAAAACTTTACAAGAGTAAATAAGCTCCTGGGTAGCTATTCGGACCCTAGAGCATCCCTTAGGGATGAACAGACTTTGCTGTCAGTGTACTTACTCCTCATGATGAGCTGGGTCTGACTCTCCATGTCGGAAAGAACATGTGTTATTGTTCATAAGACTGAGGATGGAAAAGTAACAGCTATGATGGTAGTGCCACGGCACAGACAACGTTAGTATCTGAGGACCCCAACTCTGAGCTTCCCGACATCAAGGGCTCAGATCAGCTGACTCACAGGATCCAGCTCCGTGGAGGATGGAAATATTGTCCCAGTGTTTCTGCTGTGTTGATTCTGCTGCCAGGAACTCTTAGGGAGAAGCTGGCCTTCGCACACATCCCACTGACCATTCCACTCTTCACTGTCTGGAGAGTGCAAATCCTCAGGTGTTGGACCTGAAAAGATTATAGCCTTTGTGTGGAAAAAAGGGGACTGTCCAGGACCTTGTATGTTTTTTTGAAGAAGATATTGAACTTCCGAGGAACCCATTGCATGGACAGTATTTCGCCAGGTGGAAAAGAGACAGCAGAGCCAGTCAGTGGGATAACATACTAAGGCTGATGTTTTAATTACTGCAGGTCTCATTTCTGCTGGTTGAATTACTGTGCTATTGGTTGAAGCTGGATTTGCGAGACAGCCTCTGCTGAGCTAGAACACAGGCCCAGGAATTAGATGGCTGAGGTTCAAAGCCTTGCTCAGTCATATACCAGCTGTGTGATATGGACTCAGTTTCCTCATCTGTGAAATGGGAATAATAGGATCCTCTCCCTGGATTAAGTTAGAAAAGATGAGAAACACTCCGGGTCCAGTACCAGGCCCAGAAAATGCACCAGTGTGTTCTAGGCTATTATTACTCTCATGTGCTTGCTTGGGTTTTTAGGCGTTTTGTAAATTCTGAGAACTTCTTGCTACTCTGTGACCAGACTCATCTCATGTCCTCAATGAATGTGGGAGTTTGGGGCCAGAGCCAGTGGCTGATTTATCCCAGAACTTCAGTACCTTGACATGAGCTGTGTTTGGGGAACTTCAGAGGTGTTACCACATGTGGGCGAAGGACACCTGAGTGAAATGTACATCCCATTCCTAAGGCAGGAAAATTGTTTTGATAAGACTTTACTATCTGGGTCTTGAATGCACTTTTCAAAGCCCTTTTTTTTAAAAAAATAATTATTTTTAACTGGAGGATAGTTACTTTACAATATTGTATTAGTTTCTGCTATACTGCAATAAGAGTCAGCTATAACTATCTATCTATCTATCTATCTATCTATCTATCTATCTATCTATCTATCTATCTACCTACCTATATTCCCTTCTGTCTAGAGCCTCCTTCTCACCCCTCTAGGTCATCACAGAACACCAAGTTGAGCTCCCTGAGCTATATAGCAGTTTCCCTTTCCTATTAGTATGTACTTTTCTCTAAGCCTTTGTTCAGGACTGGGACATTTAAGGTATTCATCTCGGGGCTTCTATTCCTGTGTCTTTTCTTCAGAAAGGAAATGTAATATTTTAAATGACTAGAAATAATTTTCTCTAAATTTTAATTAGGCACGTTTTCTTGATTTTTTTTTTTAAACAGGAGAGTGTCGAAGAGTTAATGGACTTTTTCCAGGCTAGTAAGAGATATCATCTCAGTAAAAGATTTGGCCACAGAGAGTACCTGGTCCAGAACATCCAGTCGTCAGAGACCCGTGTGCAAGGCCTGCTGAGCACTGCGTCTACTCAGCTGACCCTCCTCATCCAGAAACACGAGAGGTAAGACTCCTGAACCACCCCAGATAACGCAGATGAACAGCCTTCCTCCAACATTCCTCGTAGAGACCATCTGCTGCTGCAGCTGCTAAGTTGCTTCAGTTGTGTCTGACCCTTTGCGACCCCATGGACTATAGCCCGCCAGGCTGCTCTGTCCATGGGATTCTCCAGGCAAGAGTACTGGAGTGGGATGCCATGTCCTCCTCCAGGAGATCTTCCCGACCCAGGGGTGAAACCCACATCTCTTAAATCTCCTGCATTGGCAGGCGGGTTCCTAACCACTAACACCTCCTCGGAAGCCCCAGAGACCACCTACTTATGTTCATTCATCAAATGCACTGGCTATTATTAGACTTATTTCTTAAGAATTCTCTAGTTAGAAGAATCCTTTGCATGATAGAATTTTTAAAATATAGTCAATATTTCAGACGACTTTATAATGAGCCAAGATGTGCCCATCGTCAACTTCAGTAGGTACCAACTTGTGGCCAATCTTGGTGTAACTGTTTATCCTAGCCCTGAGTGGTTTTAAAGCAGATCCCCAGCATTTCATTGAGGCATCAGTGGTGGAGGCTTAGAGGAACTGCGTGGTGAGGACCGCCTGCCTCTCCTGCAGCTCTGGCACACTGCTGGCTCTTGCATTCACCTTTATTTTTTGTGTTTTGGGTTTTTTTAACTGAATTATAGTTGATGTACGGTGTTGTGGTAGTTTTAGGTGCACAACACACTGATTCAGTTATACATATAAATGTGTGTGTGTGCGTGTATATATATATTCTTTTTCAGAATCTTTTCTATAAGTTATTACAAAATATTGAATGTAGTTCCCTGTGTTATACAGTAGGTCCTTGTTGGTTATTTATTTTATATATATAGTGGTATGTATATGTTAATCTTAACTTCCTAATTTATCCCACCTCTCCTCCCCACTTTGGTAATCATAACTTTATTTTCTATATCTGTGAGGCTTTTTCTTTTTGTAAATAAGTCCATTTGCATCTTTTTTTTTAGATTCCACATGTAAGCACTGTCACATGATATTTGTCTTTCTCTGACTTACTTTGCTTAGTATGCTAATCTCTAGCTACACCCTTGTTTCTGCAAATGGCATTATCTGCATTATTTCCTTCTGTTTATGACTGAGTAATATTCCATTGTGTATATGTATGTATATACCACATCTTCTTTATCCATTCATCTGTCAATGGACATTTAGGTTACTTCCATGTCTTAACCTTTGGAATTAAGTATATACATACAGATGCTTATCTTGGATCCTGGGTATTTTTTCTCAGCAACCTTGGGGTACCACATGGCCAGGTAAATGGTGCTAATCACTGTAGCTTCTAGCCCCTTGACAGCATTTCTTCTCAGCTAGTCTTTGAGACTCTTGATTGTCAACAATGAAATTTATTCTTTGGATGTTACAAGCTCTAAAATGAATAGGGCCATGATGATAAGGTTGGTTTTCTTAGGACAACCATGGTTTTATGATTGGGTCTACTATTTAGCTAATTGTATTAGGACTTTGCAGCTCTCTTGCCCTCTTTAATGAGGATTCTATAAAGTGCAAATTGTATGAACACTTCCCACCAAAGATGCTAATGAATTTGTCACTGCAGTTGACTTGACCCTCCTGATTCATTTTTGCTCTAGTGAAAGAAGCAGCTCCTTGCCTTGAGCAGAAGCACCAGACAGCTGGTTGTACTGTTGGGAGAAGTTTCCAGGGAAGTATATTACCTCTGATTTTTAAATCCTATTTTAATAGGTTGGCCGAGATGTATTTCTGAAATGTGTGTCTACCATTCATTCAGCAGTGTGCCAAGCAGGGGCCTTGACCAGGGATGCAAACAGACTGGGAATAGTAGTGGTAATATTGGCAGCAACTGGAAAAACAGATGCAGTAAAACATGTTTGAGAAATTGGCTCACATGACTTGGAGACTGAGAAGTCCCAGGATCTCCATCTGTAAGCTGGAGGCACAGGAAAGCCAGTGGTGCAATTCAGCCAAAGGCCTGAGAACTGTGGGAATCCCAGTCTTAGAGAAGAAGATGAGATGATATGTCCCTGTTAAACAGCAAGGCAGGAAAAAAAGGGGGGAATTCCTTATTCCTCCACTTTTTATTCTATTCAGGCCCTCAGTGGACTGGGTGATGCCCACCCACATTGGGGAGAGTCAATCTGCTTTATTGAGCCTACCCATTCAAATGCTAATCTCACAAGAAAACACCCTCACAGAGACACTCAAGCGTGATCTTTAATGTGGGCACCCTGGCCAATCTATCTGATACACAGAATTAACCCTCACACCGAGCTTTCCCTGATTTACCTCTTGGACTTTGCTTGTGCCATTCATGTCACCACGAGGTCCTAGTCCATCATTTCCTCCTGGAAGATTCTATTTGTTCCACCGTGGTCCTCTTGAATGTTACATTCTCCAAAAACTCTTCCCCAATTTCTGCCCTAACAGGTGATATCTCTTGTGATGTTGAGCTTCCTCTACATGCCTCTAAAAAAGATGAACTTTCAGACACAGATGTATAGAACAGACTTTTGGACTCTGTGGGAGAAGGCGAGGGTGGGATGTTTCAAGAGAACAGCATCGAAACATATATATTATCTAGGGTGAAACAGATCACCAGCCCAGGTTGGATGCATGAGACAAGTGCTCAGACCTGGTGCACTGGGAAGACCCAGAGGGATTGGGTGGAGAGGGAGGTGGGAGGGGGGATCGGGATGGGGAATACATGTATATCCATGGCTGATTCATGTCAATGTATGACAAAAACCACTACAATATTGTGAAGTAATTAGCCTCCAACTAATAAAAAAAAAAAAAAGCATCACAAAAAAAAAAAAAAAGATGAGCTTTCCCTTCCTGCATTTTAGTAATGTCTAAGCTGCCCATTCTGATGATGGAAATTTCTCTGATTCAAACCAAACTAATATGGAGACAAACATTCATCTGCAGCACATTCAAGCTGCAGGTGAGTCTGGACAGTGCATTAACTAACTCTGCATCATTTTCATCTAGAGCAGGCTACTTGGATGAAGATCAGATGCAAGTACTCTTGGAGCGGGCTCAAACAGAAGTCTTTTCTATAAAACAGAAGTTGGACAATGACTTAAAGCAGGAGAAGAAAAAACTCCACCAAAAACTAATAATTAAGAGAAGAAGAGAGATGCTGCAAAAGGTATATAAGGAATTATGACATTTATTTTTTGCATAATCACTGTGAATACCAACCAAGTGCCAGGTTCCGCACCAGGCACTGCCATCAGAAGGCTAGGATCCAAAGTGTGACTGGACAGACATCCTGATACACCACCTGCAGTTGATTGGTAGTGGCTCTTTGGAATGCTGTGATAAGGCTTCAGTGGGTCCCATCCAGCTCAGCAAAGCTGAGGGTTGTGGTAGATTAGTAATGTCTGCCAGGACAAGAGAATAGCAGTGCTGGTTCCAGTGAATAACGACTGGTGGCTACTATAATGTTTATGGAGTGTTTACTTAGCGTTGTGCTGAGTGTATTATGTATCTTATTTGTTTTATTAACCCTATGAGGTAGAGGCTACTATTTTCTCTCTTTTTTCTAACGAAGACGTTGAACCTGAGAGCGCTTAAATGTTGTGATCTATTTGAGCTACTACAGAAAATACCATAGACTAGGTGGCTTATAAAGAACAAAAATTTATATGTCACAGTCTGGAGGCTGGAAGTCCAAGATCAGGGTTCCAGCAAGGTCAGGTTCTGATGGAGACCCTCTTCAGGTTGCAGACGACTGACTCCTTGCTGATGGAAGAAGTCAGAAGGGTGAAAGGCAGGGAGGGAGCTCTGTGGGTAGGTGTGGGGCCTCTTTTGCAAGGACACTGATTTCATTCAGGGGGCTCCATCCTCATGCCTTAAGCTCCTTTCCAAAGCTTCCTCTCCTAAATCCTCAGAACACGTATTAGGTTTCAACATCTGCATGTTGGGGGAACACAAGCATTCAGATCACAGCATTAAGTAATGAGGTCAGGGTCACAGGTTTGGTGATTGGCAGTTGTGGGGTTGAGTCCAGGACCGTGTGATTTAGAGTTTCAGCCTCGCCCTTGACGCTCATCTGCTCAGCTGTTTGCCCACCTGGGGAAGGGGCAAACAGAAATGCACCCTGTGCTGTTTTCATGCTCTGGTAGCATAGAGGTCACCATCACCCGGGGAAGGCTGCGCAGAGCAGGTGCAGCTGCACCCGAGTCCCGGGGTCAGGGAGCCCCTGATGTGTGCAAGGCAGGAGGGACATTGCAGCTGGTGGGGAGGCATCTTGTTCAAACGTGAAGGATTCAGGCAAGGGTGCCCTGCTGTGCGTGGAGTTCCAAGAACATGAGAGTTGAGGGGGCAGGGGCTGGAGGAGGCACGCCCAGGAAGCGGTGCCTCTTCAATGAGGGCAGTGTGCTGGGCTGACAGCTGACTTTCATCCGAGGACACGAGGGTACACTGAAAGGTTTTCAGGAGAAGTGATGCCAAAAGCTCAGTCGCTCTGCACCAGTGCCAAATCAAATCTCAGAGACAGAGTTTTGGGTGAAATAGAAAAGCAAAGCTTTATTGCTTTGTCAGGCAAAGGAGGACACAGCAGGCCCTTGCCCTGAAAAACTGTGTGTCCCCACCTAGGAGGAATTGGTGAAGTGTTTTATAGCAATGGCTCAAGGGCAGTACTGCTGACAAGGATCAGGGTGTGTGCAGGGCCTGCACTTCTTTAATCCGGCCTCAGGTGGTCTCTTGATGAGCAGGTTATGAAACTGTCACCTTCTCTGAAATGAAGAATACTAACATCTTCCGTGATGCTGTTAAAGTGCTGCACTCAATATGGCAGCAAATTTGGAAAACTCAGCAGTGGCCACAGGACTGGAAGAAGTCAGTTTTCATTCCAGTCCCAAAGAAGGGCAATGCCAAAGACTGTTCAAAATACTGCACAACTGCACTCATCTCACACTTTAAAAAAGTAATGCTCAAAATTCTCCAAGCCAGGCTTCAACAGTATGTAAACTGTGAACTTCCAGATGTTCAAGTTGGGTTTAGAAAAGGCAGAGGAACCAGAGATCAAATTGCCAACATCTATTTGGTCATAGAAAAACCAAGAGAGTTCCAGAAAAACATCTACTTCAGGTTTATTGATTACACAAAAGCCTTTGACTGTGTAGATCATAACAAACTGTGGAAAATTCTTCAAGAGATGGGAATACCAGACCACCTGACCTGCCTCCTGGGATATCTGTATGCAGGTTAAGAAGCAACAGTTAGAACTGGACATGGAACATCAGACTGATTCCAAATCAGGAAAGGAATACGTCAAGGCTGTATATTGTCACCCTGCTTATCTAACTTATATGCAGAGTACATCATGTGGAATGCCAGGCTAGATGAAGCACATGCTGGATTCAAGATTGCTGGGAGAAATATCAATAACCTCAGATATGCAGATGACACTACCATTATGGCAGAAAGTGTAGAAGAACTGAAGAGCCTCTTGATGAAAGTGAAAGAAGAGAGGGAAAAGCTGGCTTAAAACTCAACATTCAGAAAACTAAGATCACGGCATCTGGTCCCATCACTCCATGGCAAATAGATGGGGAAACAATGGAAACAGTGACAGACTATTTTCTTGGGCTCCAAAATGAGTGCAGATCGTGACTGCAGTCATGAAATTAAAAGACGCTTGCTGCTTAGAAGAAAAGCTGTGACCAACCTAGACAGCATATTAAAAAGCAGAGACATTACTTTACCAACAAAAAATCCATCTATTAAAAACTATGGTTTTTCCAGTAGTCATGTATTGGATGTGAGAGTTGGACTATAAAGCTGAGTGCCGAAGAATTGACGCTTTTGAACTGTGGTGTTGGAGAAGATTCTTGAGAGTCCCTTGGACTGCAAGGAGATCCAACCAGTCCATCCTAAAGGAAATCAGTCCTGAATATTCATTGGAAGGACTGATGTTGAAGCTGAAACTCCAATACGTTGGCCACCTGATGCAAAGAGCTGACTCCTTGGAAAAGACGCTGATGCCAGGAAAGATTGAAGGCAGGAGGAGAAGGGGATGACAGAGGATGAGATTGTTGGATGGCATCACGGACTCGATGGACATGAGTTGAGTAAGCTCCGGGAGTTGGTGAAGGACAGGGAAGCCCGGCCTGCTGCAGTCCCTGGGGTCACCAAGAGTCGGACACAACTGAGCGATTGAACCGAACATCTTCCATTAGTTGGGAGTTTCAGTTGGGATGCTTATTGTTATATGTGTCCCTCAAGGCAGAACCAGGACCCTGCCCCGTGGCTGCACTATTGTTTCTTGACGGCTCCTCCCTTATCTCCGCTTCCTCTCCACTCCCTGACCAGCAGCTGCTTGAAAGGTCTCAGTGCCCAGCAGCCCCACAGGGTCCTGCTTGGTTTCAGAAGGAAGATCAGATTCGGAATTTAGGAAGCTCAGTTGAGCAGCCTGTCAGATAGAACTGAAGGAGCAGACCTATGGGAGGATCTCGCACTTGACCAGATCAGAAGTGATGAGACCATGTCCTGGGCGTGGGAACAAGGGCAGATTCAGATGTGAGATGTCAGGATGACATAGGCTGCTGTCAGGATGACATAGGTGGTCCCATTCAGGAAGGAAGGGGAAGCAGAACAACTTAAATTGATTGATAGAAGCTCTATATTTATTACCAAGTGTTGGGCCCAACAGGAAGCTGTGATTCTTATCTCAGCCATTGAACTCCACCCCAAGTTCTGCATTGCCTTATCCATCTCCATTGGCTCAAGGATCAAAGCAATGGGGCTTAGAGCCATATTTCTCTGATGGTCTGGCCTGGTTCAAGGTTAGGATCTGCAAGGATGGATGAACTGCAGAGATTCCAGTGAGTTTCCATGAACACAGTTTCTTACAGTTGCTTTTGCTAAATCTTGTGACTGCCACAGGGTTGGAATGCCACTCTACAAAGGCAAAGGTTTGTGTTCTATCCCCAGCACTGAGGACACGTTGCAGGTTCTAAAGAGTATTTATAGAAAGAAGGAATTGACAATTTCAGGTCACCTGAACCCACGAACAAAAGATATGTTTGTGCAAACCCAGACTATCTGCCAGGTACACTATTGTAAATAATACTGTGATGGACATCTCTGTGTATGTCAGCTTTTTTCCCATCACAGGGCCTTTTATACCTACTGTTATTTCTCCAAGAAATATCCTTTCCCCCATCTTCACTCAACTGAGGTATGACCTCACCCCTCAGGTCTCTCTTGGGGCTCCTTTATTTTTTAACATTTTTAAAATTCATAGTAGCATAATTATGAAAGTGAAAGTGAAGTCACTCAGTTGTGTCCGACTCTTTGCAGCCCTGTGGACTGTAGCCCACCAGGCTCCTCCGTCCATGGGATTCTCCAGGCAAGAATACTGGAGTGGGTTGCCATTTCCTTCTCCAGGGGATCTTTCTGACCCAGGGATCGAACCCAGGTCTCCTGTATTGCAGGCAGACGCTTTAACCTCTGAGCCACCAGGGAAGCCCTGCATGATTATAGCATAAAATATAAAATATAATTATGTTTTTTCTTTTCCATTATAGTTTATCACAGGATATTGTATATAGTTCCCCATGCTATACAGAAGGACCTTGTTGTTTATGCATATAGATCTCCTTCTTTGAAAGGCCTGTAACCTCCTCATTTAATTTGTCTCTCATGGATCTCAGGATTTTTTTTCTCTTAGAATATTTTGATTTTCAGTTCCTATGTGCCTGGGATATGGTAATAATAATAGCAGACATTCACTGATGCCAATCTGTACCAGGCCCTTCTCTAAGAGCTAACTACAAATTTTATTTGGGGCAAAAGGAGGACTGCAGCCCAAGAGACAGCATCCCCTATATCTTAAAGCAGTACCATTAAGCACTCATTTTACAAAAGGGTTTTTGTTAGTGAGAATCTGATGTCTCATGAAGGGATTTAATGCTTCTCTAGATATGAAGAGATGCAAGGATTGAGATTATAAAATCTGTTCCTAAAAACTCCCAACTATCTAAAGACCTGTCCCACCAGATTCCCTGGAGCAGAGTGCCTCAGCCCGCCCTGAACTCCCTCAGAGGTTGTTGAAGGTCAGCAGCTATAGCAGCGTGGGGTCCAGTCTCCGCAGAGGCAGGTGGCAAATGCCTCTGCTGTTTAGTTGGCAATGCTCTTGGTAAGTGCCAATTTGTAGCTGACACACGTCTTAAGCATCTCATTGACTCCTGCCAGCTACTCTGTGAAGTAGATCCTATTATTATCTTCTGTCATCCTCTGTGGCTTAGGCACTGGACACACAGACAGGGCTAGATATTCATTTGGCGTGACTCAGCTTCTAAGTGGAAGAGACAGGGTTGGAACCCAGGTGGTCTGCCTCTTGAGCTTTACCTCCTTGATAAATACACGTTCAACAGAAGTCAAACAAATGACGTTTTCACTACATTTTCAGTTATTTTCTTAAGAGTAATTTTCTTTTCTTGCAAGGGGGAACACTTATCAACTTTATTAACTTACTTAAAAGCCATGAAACCTCGAACGAAAGAGGCAATGCTTAAAGTTCAGCTGGACGAAGCAAACTAAGCCTTTTCCTTTGCCTGGATCCTCACCATAAATCTTGCCTTTGAGTTATCAGATTTGCCACCCCTCACCTTTGGAATATTGTGATTAATATAGACAGAGGCAGACTTTGTCTAGTTCAGGAGGTGAGAGCAAGATAGAAAAAATACTGTGTTTGAGTGAAGAAGGTGGGAAAAAGATGCCCTGGATCCTTCTTTGAACCTCATAAAAGATGATCACATTTTACTAAAGTTCAATCAAGTTACATGCTCTTCTCCTTTGGGGAGGATGTGTTAAGAAGATAGAGTCTTGTGCTTCCTTTGGCAGCACATACACTAAAATTGGAATGATACAGAGAAGGTTAGCATGGCCCCTGCATAAGGATGACACGCAAATTCATTCCATATTTTTTATAGCTGATTCACATTGTTGTATAGCAGAAACTAACACAGCACTGTAAAGCAATTATACTCCAATTAAAAAAATTAGCAAATAATACTGAACACCACATGCAATGAGAATTACTGGTGTATTTAATCTAAATACATTTAGATTTCTAGAAATACATTTCACATTTCTAAAGCATACAATCCTATTAATATAAATATTAGCATACTCCTATTAATATAAATTTAAGCCGGCTATACGGGCTATACGGGCTTTGGGCTTCCCAGATGTTGCATGGTAAAGAACCCACCTGCCAATGCAGGAGATGTGAGACCTGGGTTTGATCCCTGGTTCGGGAAGATCCCCTGGAGGAAGAAATGACGACCCCCTCCAGTATACTTGCCTGCAGAATCCCATGGACAGAGGAGCCTGGCGGGCTACAGTCTACAGGGTCACAAAGAGTTGGACACGACTGAAGCGACTTCAGGCACATACGCACACACTGCCTTTACCAAAGTTAATGTACTCATAAGGAAATCTTGAGAACTTTAGTGAAGTCACCTCTCCACAGCTCCTGGTGCTAATCTCAGAGGTCAAAGAATTGTTTTGATTGAGAAAAACACAAACATAACCCAAGAAAAAAATGACTGAGGCAAGGGGAAAAACAAGAATCTTAATAGAAACATCCTCTCTTGTTGTTTAAGGCTTGACTGTGGGGAGAAATCAATAGTCCTTCCAACTCTGAACACACTCTTGAAGTATTTCTCTCCTGTTGGCCTGTTTGCAGAAAAATTTAGTTGGTTTTCCTTTTCTTTCTTCTAGTATTTACAATAATTTTTTAAATTTTTAATTGGAGGATAATTGCTTTACAAAGTTGTGTTGGTTTTTGGCTGTACAACAAAGCGATTCAGTCATAAGTGTGTGTGTATATATATATATACATATATATATATGTATACACATACCGTATATATATATATGCCTCCTTCCTCCACCCCATCCTACCTCTCTAGGTCATCCTCGAGGGCCAGGCTGGGCTTCCTGTGCTATCAGCAGGTTCCCACTGGTTATCTGTTTTACACATGGACGTATATATATGTCAGTGCTACACTCTCAAATTAGTTGGCTTTAGCAGAGCAAAGCATTCATTCAAAGTAAGCATTCGGTGGTTCCTTTCTCTTCCGCTGCTGTCATACTTTGGCTCTCTCCATTGGTATTTAAGACCATCAGTTCCTTTTTTAAAAGAATAATTTGCCAAATTTATAGTTGGGGAAAGGGCTGTTGATGTTCTGCGCCTCCTGCAACTATTCCCCAAAGTGTTTTCTTGAGGGCTGTACCAGCTCAGCTCCCTGCTAATTGTCCGCTCTGGAATTGCTGGCAGCACAAGGAACAGCGGAGGGAGCAGCTGTCCATCGCCGAAGCCTCCGGGGCCGCCGAGGATGCCGGCCAGTACCTGGACCAGTGGCGGGGCCTGATGGCCGAGCACAGCGCCGCCCTGGAGGAGCTGCAGGAGCGCCTGGACCAGGCTGCCCTGGATGAGCTCAGGGCGCTGACCCTCTCGCTGTCCGAGAAAGCCACAGAGGAGCTGCGGCGTCTGCAGAACTCAGGGATGACCCAGGAGCTGCTCAAGCGTGGGGTGCCTTGGCTCTTCCTGCAGCAGATCCTGGAGGAGCACGGCAGGGACCTGGCGGCCCGGGCCGAGCGGCTAGAGGGTGAGGAGAGGGACCGGGGCCAGGAGGGCGTCCAGAGCGTCAGGCAGAGACTGAAGGACGATGCGCTGGAGGCCTCCACGGAGGAGCAGGCGGAGCTGAGACACTGGGAGCACTTGATCTTCACGTGAGTCTTAATGCCTGAGTGTTGTCCTCTCCTCTGTTCCTGTTGGTGGGGGAGGGATTCTGCCTGCTGGTTCCGAGCATAGCCAGACACGTGACACCTGATCCTGAGACTGAGACTTGATGTAGCCCAAAGCAGGGCTTTGGCCACCTGATGCAAAGAACTGACTCATTTGAAAGGACCCTGATGCTGGGAAAGATTGAAGGCAGGAAGAGAAGAGAACACCAGAGGATGAGGTGGTTGGATGGCATCACTGACTCAATGGACATGAGTTTGAGTAAACTCCAGGAGTTGGTGATGGACAGGGAGGCCTGGCGTGCTGCATTCCATGGGGTTGCAAAGAGTCGGACATGACTGAGCAACTGAACTGAACTGAAAGAAAGGGGGGGTTCAGTTGTGTGATAGATGCCAGCAAAGCTTTGGCAGCTGTTTGGGGCTGGTGCATCAGATTGGAAACTGGAGGAGCCTCAAACACCACCCACATTGGGCAACAGAAAGGAATGAAATGTGGGCAGTGTAGACCAAAAATCTGGGTTTAAATCCCAATACCACCACCAGCTGTCTGAGTGTAGACAAGTTACTGAGTCTCTGAGCCTCATCCTTCTTGTCTGTGGAATGGGATGACAATACGCAGTCATTTATGGTGCTTTCAGTAGCACATGATACTATTGGGTTGTTAGAAAGTGAAGAAAGCATTTTATAAGAAATCAGGAGGTAAATTTTCTGGTTTTGATTCCATGACTTGGTGATACCATCAAGGATTCAGCCCTCAACATCTTTCTGCTCTGCTATACTCAATGGGCTACCTTGGTCCTTGGGCTCATCCTTCATGGTTTCATGATGGCTGCTGCAGCTCCAGGCGTCACGCACATCATCTTTTTTTAACATCTGCGGCATTGGTCTTCCCTGTCCTATTTGGCAGGACTACATCATAAACACATGCCAAACTGTTCAGCTGCTAGCAGGCTAAAAAAGCTATGATTGTCTTAGACCAGAGGGCAGCAGACTTTTTCTTTAGGCTTCGAGAGCTACATGGTTTCTGTAGCAGCTATTCAACTCTGGCAGGAGCATGAAAGCAGCTACAGGCAATCTGTCAGTGAACATGACTGTGTTCCAACATAACTTTATTGACAAAAACAAGCAGTGGGCCAGATTTGGTCCACAGGCCACAGGTTGCCAATTCCCGCCTCAGACCACCCAGGATTCCCTCTCTAGGGCTACTGGGAGGTTCATATCTCCAACACTGTTGGAGGGTAACTCCTATAAACAAAAGCTGAGCTGACAAGGGACAAGGAAGTGACTCTAGATTAGACCATTAGACCACTATCTAGCAAAATGCCAACTCCCAGCATTGACGAGGGGTTGCGTGAGCAAGTATATGTCGGTCTTTTAACACGACATTTGATCAGAAATAAGTGGATGGTAAGAGGTACCTGCTATCATCACCGCCATCATTCCTGTGTGAGAAGAACTCAGATTATCAGGAGGAGAACAGACACACAGATAGATGATTGTGATGAGCAAAGCAGGAGCAATTAACCAGGTGATTGTGTGGAGGATCAGGATCTTTACCAGGATAGGAAGGAGGTACATTTTGGGTGCTAGCCTCTGAGCTGGTACTGGGAGCCAGAGATGAGGGGACCTTGCTCACTGGTACTGTGCTGAGAGGAGGCAGGACTGGTGGTGAGCAGCTTGATGGGTCCTTGTCTGGGTGTGAAATGGGGAGACCAGTCTCACTGCACAAAGAAACAAAATCAAAACCCCCACCAACAGCAGCACAGTGGAGAGAAACAATAACCCCCACCTACCTAGTCTATTTATTTAGAGTAATAGAAACTGTTTACGTATAAGGGCATAATTGTGGGCATTTGGCTGTAACTTAGAGCTACTTCCTTAAACCAATGGACCCACCGATCAATATTCCATCAAGTTGCTTTCTCTTTGAACAAAGCAACCCAGAAAACCCTATTCAAGGAAATAAACTAAACCAAAGCCCTTTGACCATTCTTTCCTCAGTGTGACCACTCCACAGTTTAACTTGGATCTTAGCCACAATTTCGATTCTGAATCTACAGCCCTTTTGTTTAGAAACGGTTATATTGACATAGGGCATTCCAGGTGGCTCAGTGGTAAAGAATCCACCTGGCAATGCAGGAGATGCAGGATACTCAGGTTCAATCCCTGGGTTGGGAGGATCCCCTGGAGGAAGAAATGTCAACCTACTCCAGTATTCTTGCCTGGAGAATCCCATGGTCAGAGGAGCCTGGTGGGCTAGAATCCATGGGGTCACAAAGAGTCGGACACAACTTAGCAACTGAGTATGCACATACTTAGTGACATAGGACCGTAGAGGGGTGTTGGGGGTCGGGGAGGGGGTAGGGGAAGGAGTCCCTCTCAGTATATCTGCTCAGTCTGTCTGTCCACCTCCTCTCTTGAACCCCATGTTGCTTTCTTGATATCTGTGGTCCTCTCCACCTCCGTCAAAGCCTGGGCTCTCCTTGAACCCTTTCAGGGACACCAGGTAGCAGAGCATCGTTCTGAAATGCCCATCCTTCCTTGAGGGCAGTAACATCCATGGATCAGGGTCCTTCCAGACTCAGTGATGCAATGCCTCCTCCTTAACTGCTCTTCCCTGGGGACTGACCCTGCGACCAGCGAGGAGAGGTCCCAGGTGTTGTGGAGAGGGAGGTTATCTTGGTGTCGATGAAGTGACCTCTTCCTTCTTTCTCATCTCTCTTTTTTTTTATGGTTCTGTCCTTATTTAGCTCAGTCTTTGTTAGCTTTTTATTTGACTTGAACAAACAAGATGCTGTCTTCTCCAAGCCCATACAAATCAGACCCTTAAATGCCACTTATTTGCATAAGTTGTTCTCAACAGTAATTATTCAGCCCAATCTGCATTTGACCAAAGTCTCTTTGCTCCATCCAACCTGCTTTGGGCTGGCTCTTTAAAGTCTGTGGATTGGACTTGACATTCCCATTACCGGATGGTCACCTTCTTCGCCTTCATTTGGTTTCATTTTGCAGGGAATATTATGAAAGCTGCCGCTGATTGAGTTGTTCAACAGGAAAAGAGAAATCTTACTTTTCTATCAGAAAGCTCTCTATGATTTTCCCTAGGGTTAAAGAGGGTCAACTAACAATATGCACAATGTGAGTCTGCTTATATACTTTGCTTATTTAAGACTCTAAAAGGTTGCAGCCTTTATTTCTGAGGCATTAAGTAGAAATGACTTTGCACAATAGTTTGGAAACATGTTTTTATAAGTTTCCTGATTTCAAGCAGGATGGAGTTGCTGTAAACCTGGTCTGATGAAGTGAGAATTAATCAAGAGGCATACTTTACCAGGGAAAGTGTGTCTTTAAGACCTTGTTTCTAAACTGCCTGGATGTTAAACTCCTTCAGGGCAAAGACGGTCTCCCGTGTTTCTGTATTATCTTGGTGCCTAGCTAGTTGAAGATCAAGACCAGACCACCCAGCACATGTATGCATGTTCAGTTGTGTCCGACACTTTGTATCCTCATAGACTGTAGCCCACCAGGCTCCTCTGCCCATGGAATTCTCCAGGCAAGAATAACTGGAGTGGGCTGCCATTTCTTTCTCCAGGGAATCTTCCCAACCCAGAAATCCAACACTCTGGCGTCTCCTGCATTGGCAGGCACATTCTTTACTGCTAGGCGCCACCTGGGAAGTCCCTAGACCACCCAGGGAAGAATAAAGACTCGGATTCATTTCAGAGTTACTTTCACCTTAGAGGCCACATAAGCAGCAAATATGTAGGGCAAGGATTCTCCATGAAGGAAGGCGCAAAGGAGCAGCTGTGGTTTCCTAAAGTGCTTCAGAAAACTTGGTGGGTCCCATGGAGCCCTGTGGGCTTGAGGCCTTCAGACTGCTTCCGGCTGGGGGCCCACATCAGCTCTGATAGTCTTATTCTGTTCCCAGGAGAGAACTTTCTAGCCGAGCTGAAATTGTATACCCCTCTGTGGAGATTTGGGACTGATGGACCTGGCGCTGGCCTCCCACAGCAACATCCTGTGGATATTTCCAAAGTTTAAAGTGTCCACAAAGTGTATTTTCTGCAGCTAGTGCTGATCAGACCTTGCCAGAATAACCAAACAGATTATATGATTTCATGTCCCACACAATATGGTGGCTCAGTGGTAAAGAATCTGTCTGCCAATGCAGGATACGTGGGGTCAGTCCCTGCATGGGGAAGATCCCCTGAAGAAGGAAGTGACAACCCACTCCAGGATTCTTGTCTGGAGAATCCCATGGACAGAGGAGCCTGGAGGGCTACAGTCCTTGGGGGTCACAGAGAGATGCAGAGTGACTGAGCGCGCTCACACACACACACACACACACACACCCCAACATGACGCACATTAGGTGCTGAAGAAACCCTTGTGGAATGAATGCCTGATCCAGGAGATGGTGGGTGTTTCCGGACATGGATTTGACTAATGGAACTTGAGCTTTGAATTTCCACTTTCCCATCCCCAGCACAACCCACCCTGTCTTCTTTTTTTGCAAGAACAGACTGCTCTTCTTGGTTTTCCAGGAAGCTCTGCTCCTCTGCCTTCTCCCTGTCCGAAGAGGAGCTGCTTGGGATGAGGCAGGAAGTTCACGGCTGCTTCGCGCAAATGGACAGGAGCTTGGCCCTCCCCAGAATCCGGGCCCGAGTCCTGCTGCAGCGATTCCAGACGGCTTGGCGAGAAGCAGAGTTCCTGAAGCTGGACCAGGCCGTGGCCGCCCCTGAGCTGCAGGTAGGATGGGCGTCTCGGGGCCTCGTTCTGGCAGAGGCAGGGCCTCCTCCAGCTGCTGAGGCTGTAGAATCCAGCTCCACTGCTGCCTCAGCCCTTGGCCATGTTAGCATCGGGCATTCCCAGAACCGCCTGAAGTTCTGTAGCGGACACCCTGGTCCCTGGCTTCGCACTGTTCACCAGCGGTTATGAGTCTCCACCACTCATGGTTCACAGGTACACCCTCTCCTGGGCGTTGATTGCCCTTGGTGGTGGGAGCCGCCCAGCCTGAGAGGTGACTATCCCTCCTGCCCCCTCCCTTAGCCACAGCCAGTGACCCACGCAGGAGGCTTGTGTGAGTGGCCTGAGGAAGATGCTCACTTCAGCTCAGCTGGATAAGGGCATCTCTGATCCCAGGCCTTGTAGGGTGACTGACAGATGCCTGTGTGGGCTAAGTCATTTCAGGCGTGTCTGATTCTTCGTGACCCCGTGGACTACAGCCCACCAGGTTCCTCTGTCCATGGGATTCTCCAGGCAAGAATACTAGAGTGGGTTGCCATGGCCTCTTCCAGGGGTCTTCCTGACCCAGGGATTGAACCCAAGCCTTCTGCATTGGCAGATGGGTTTTTTATCTCTAGTGTCACCTGGGAAGCCCTGACATGTCTGTAGTGAGCACCTGTTACATGCAACAGGCAACTCTTGAGTGCTTGGTTTACTCCAGAGCCCCCCATGGGGCCAGTCAAGGCCAGACCCTCCCACCTTCCCTAGCCCCTTCCTCCTCCTATCCTGGTTCCCACACCTCCTGTGGCTTGCTCTGAACTCCTCTCTCAGGAAACAACGTTCACCCTAGTCCCTGCTGTCTCTGGCTCTGCCTCTGGGGAACCTGACCTGCAAGGCCTTTGAACTTGCTGTTTCCTCTGCCAGGAACATCACAGCGCCAACTCTTTGCTCTCTCTTCACATCTCAGTTCAGTTGTCATCTGCACAGAGGCCCTCCCTGAGCACTATCCGGAGTCATCACCTCCCCAGGCCTCCTTCAGAAAGCTGTGTTCTTGCTTCCTCGTAGTATTGATCGTGATCTGAAATGTCCTGGTTACTCAATGTACTCACGGTCTGTGCATCACCGCCCCCCCACCAACAAGCTCCCTGTTTGTAGCTCCCATTCACCATGCCATCCAAGCACCTAGAATGTGCCTGGCACATAGTAGGTGTGCAATAAGTTTTATTGACTGAACCAACCAACCACCTGATGTGGGCAGAACGTGGGGAACTTCCCTGAGGTGATATCACACTGAGGTTGAAAACATTTCATATCACTTACCCTTCTGTTAGCTCAGCTGTGGTTAACAGCAGGGCCAGGAGTAGATGTTCTGTCCCCATGTTAGAGATGAGAAAACTGACCGAGAGGAAACGTGAATTGACCAAGTTAGGATGGAATAGAAGGACTGGTCTTCGAGGTGGTACTTTCTGCCTTTAAACCCAGTGCTTCTCCTTGAGGAGAAAAAAAAAAAATTCAGCCACTTCCTTTCTGAATAAGATCAGTGAACAAAACCAACTTGGAAGATTTTACATCTTTTCACGTTTAAAAAAAGGGGGCTTCCCAGGTGGCGCTAGTGGTGAAGAATCCGCCTGCTGATGCAGCAGACATAAACAACGTGTGTTCAGTCCCTGGGTCAGGAAGATTCCCTGGAGAAGGAAATGGCAACCCACTCCAATATTCTTGCATAGAGAATTCCACAGACAGAGGAGCCTGGTGGGCTACAGTCCACCGGGTCACAAAGAGTTGGACATGACTGAAGCAACTTAGCACGCACATTAAAAAAAAATAGTGGGTTGAGAATTCTCTGGCAGTCCAGTGGTTAGAACTCCATGCTTCCACTGCAGGGGTCCTGGGTTCCATTCCTGGTTGGGGAACTAAGATCCCAGAGGCTCCACAGCACAGCCTAAATAAATAAATACATGTTGTTGTTGTTGTTGTTTTTCTATTTCTCTTATTAGAATGTTGCAAGATATACAAAATGGTGATACTTACAGAGTCAGGAACAGGTTATACCCAAAAATGTATAAAAGGCTTTGGAACAGTGAGTAAAAAAAAAAAAAGATGTTTCCAAGTAAGTGAACTGAAGTGTGTTTCCCCTGCTTTTGAGCTGGACCAAGGGCTGAAGGGCTGAGCCCAGCAGGAATTAAGTGTCTGACTGTAAGTTGTTCAAGGTGCTGGATGTTGGAATTGAATTGGCCTTGTGCCTCAGAGGGGTGGAGCATCTGCCCTGGGCCTAAGGTTGCTCCCTGGAAACCCTGTAGAGAGTCAGGAGCAGAGGTGAGGGGTGGAGCCTGCGGTTGGCTGAGCCTGGCCATCTTCACCAGCAGCACCGTGAGAAGAGCATCACGGCGGGCAGGCCTAGGAGGGCATCTCCAGGAGCCACTCCATTGCCAGGCCCTCCTATCCTGCCAGCCTAGGGGTGTGGGCTGGTTATCCTGCAGGCAAGCAAGCTGGGAGCTTGCACCTAAAAGTTCTTTTTATTCTTATTTTATTTATTTTAGCCTTATTTTTCTTACCCATCATTTTTTCATCTATAACATGAGTATAATGAAGATTACTCTGGGAATTGTTCAGTCACTAGATTGTGTCTGACTCTTTGTGACCCCATGGACTACAGCAGGCCAAGCTTCCCTGTCCTTCACCACCTCCCAGAGCTGGCTTAAATTCATGTCCATCGAGTCGGTGATGCCATCCAACCATCTCATCCTCTGTGGTCCCCTTCTACTTTTGTCCTCAATCTTTCCCAGCATCAGGGTCTTTTCCAATGAGTCAGTTCTTTGCATCAGGTGGCCAAAGTACTGGAGCTTTAGCTTCAGCATCAGTCCTTCCAATGAATATTCAGGACTGATTTCCTTTAGGATTGACTGGTTTGATCTCCTTGCAGTCCACGGGACTCTCAACAAGAATCTCCTTCAGCACCACAATTCGAAAGCATCAATTCTTTGGCTCTTAGCCTTTGGCATTAGACAGTCTAATATGTAGAACAGAATTAATTATACTCCATACATCCCCATTCCCTTGGGCCTCCCCATTCGTTCTTTCTTCTGACCACCAGGTAGCCCTCCAGTTTCTTCCCTGTTGATCACTGTTTGGATTCAGCGCCCTAAACAAGAGCAGAATTGTCTGGTTGACATATCAGCTGGCCTCTCCCAGGGTTCTCAGACAATTGATACAAATGAGTATCTGAGGCTCTTCTAAACACTAACAGACAGGCAAGTCAGATTGCTCCCTCCTCTTTCTTCAAGCCTTTCCTTGGCACTTTCTGCTCGGATACAAGTTCTACTGTGGTCTCAAGGCTCCACCTAATCTGACCCTTGATGAGCCATATGCTGGTAAACTAACTCTGGATGGGAGTTCATTGTTCCTGATTTGTAGCATTTTCCCATTTCCCTCATGTCAGTACCCCTTCCAAGGTCAACTGACTTGACATCCAGCACGTGGGCGCTGAGAGAGACGTACATGATCAGACCCCCCACCCCACTCTGGCTTCACCCCCTCCCAGTGCCAATCCTCACTCTAGGTTTCAGGATCTTACCCACCAGGCCAGCTCTGTTCTGCAGAGGCCCTGACTCACAATTTCCTTTTTTTGTGGTCTTATCTCCGTTAGAGCAGGAGATGAAAACTGTAGTTCACTCATGAAGTTAGTGAGCCTAGCCTGCGTACTTAAAGATATCGGGCTCGGATCAGGAGGCTCACCGTCAAGTTCTCAGGGCTCCCATGACGTAGCTGAGGCCATTGATTCTGTTCTCCTGGCCTCAGTCTCCTCCTCTGTCAAATGGGATGTCTGATCTCAGTGAATTACCCTTCAGGTGCTTGCCTCCTCTGAGTGCGCTGGGGCGAGTGCTGAGGACATGGTAGTCCTCTCTAGTATTATCACCATGGTCATGAGAGCTGGGGCAGAGACTGGTGGACAGGCCTGAGTCCAGGTCGAGAGCAGGCTCTGGGAGATCATGGCAATGAAAGAGAGGAGCAAGGGTGGGCATGTGAGCCGGGAAGCGAAAAGCACCAGCCCTTGTGGGAGTGACCACTGACCACACATTGCTTTGAGCCTCTTAGGTGGGGTGTGTTACATTGTGTTGGTTGTGCTCCATCAGGCTGTGCTGCTCTGGGTTATGTTTTGCTGTGTTATGTCATGTCCTGTTGTCACATTCTGATGTTATGTACCTTCTGTTATCACAGCACTCTGCTATGTTATAGAAATAGCCTGTTGTTGTGTTATATCGCATTGTGTTATGCTGTGCTGTATTGTTACATTATTTTGTTTAGTATGTTATATTATGTTGTTATGTTTATGTGGTTTAAGGGCTTCCCCAGTGGCTCAGTAAAGAATCCACCTGCAATGCAGGAGACCTAGGTTTGATCCCTGGGCTGGGAAGATCCCCTGGAGAAGGGAATGGCAACCCACTCCAATATTCTTGCCTGGAGAATCCCATGGACAGTGGAGCCATGGGGTCACAAAGAGCCAGACATGACTGACTAATAATTATGTTACATTGTGTTATGTTTTTGCAGTAATCTTGTGAGGTAGGCACTATTATCTCCATTTTATAGGCATGGAAACTGAGGCTCAGACATTGTAGCATGTGCCACACTCATTCGTTCATTCCTTGAATATCAATTTACTGAGTACCCACGACCTCTTCTTTAACCCCTCTCACCTTTGCTGTGGGCTTCAGATCTTTGGGGTCTGGCACCCCCTGTTTCCAGATTTTCACACTCCTGACACTTTGTCCTGCCAGGCTCAGCTGCAGTGTCACTTCCTCACATTTGTGAGCAGCTAGTATGTGTGTGCAGGGTGTGCAGATTGCTGTTCTAGGAGGATGGTCTATGTCAACATCCCCCCGGCCCCCAAGCACAGTGCTTCCTTGAATGGACGCATGCAGATGTCCTCAGCAGCCATTTACCTCTGCAGACATGTCCCCATCCACCCAACATGAGATAACAGCCAGCACGCTCATTCCATCACCTTGTCTTCATGGCACTCACTGGCCCTCTGAGAGTGCCTCTGTCCATCTGCAAAGCTCCGGTGCTGCCCTCAAGCAACCCTCTCCTCCCCTTGGTGGGCCGAGCCCCCAGAGTTCACCAAGACCAAAGGCTGGTGACCGGAGCTCCTTCCAGGAAAGGCTTCATCTCTCCACCCTTCTCCGGCTAAGACAGCTGTGTGCTGCAGAGAGCTGCAGGAGCCTCTCTGGGCTTGCGGAGATCGGGGGCTGCACCCCCCTGCTGGTGATCACCTTCTCACCCATGTTTTCTCCCCACTCCAGCCACAGTCCAAGGCCAGAAAGCCACGCTCCAAGAGCAGAAGCAAGATAGACCTTTTGAAGAAATGCATTGAAGATAAAATTCAGCTGTTTGAGGAACAGGCTCCCGAAGACCTGGTTGAAAAGGTTAGTGTTTCACCTGCCACTCATCACAGGGCTGGCTGCCGCCTGGTTTGAGGGCACACAGATCCCTCGGGCGGAGAAGGCAATGGCACCCCACTCCAGTCCTCTTGCCTTGAAAATCCCATGGACGGAGGAGCCTGGTAGGCTGCAGTCCATGGGGTCGCTAAGAGTCAGACACAACTGAGTGACTGCACTTTCACTTTTCACTTTCATGCATTGGAGGAGGAAATGGCAACCCACTCCAGTGTTCTTGCCTGGAGAATCCCAAGGACGGGGGAGCCTGGTGGGCTGCCGTCTATGGGGTCGCACAGAGTTGGACACGACTGAAAGGACTTAGCAGCAGCAGCAGCAGATCCCTCGGGGGCTGTGAGTGTCCGCCTCCATCCTGCACCCGGCTTTCCTGCAAGTGGGCACCGGCCCCCACAGCCACTACCGCGCCTTTCCTCCTGGTCCTTCTGCCTAGAGCACTTTTCCTCCACTTCTCCACGCAGAGGCCTCAGGTGTGTCCTTCGGGCTTCCCCTCTGGCTTGGTGCTGAGGGGTTCACTCCTGCTGTTTCACCCTGTCTCCCCATATATCTTGCCTGCAGCCCGACCTCCCTATCCAGCCCACTTTTCTCATCTCAGTGAGGCTTCAGTTTGTACGCACACCACGTATGACCACATGCTGCTTACCTGTCCTTCCCTCTTCCTGGATTTATCTTTCCACCTTTTTTTACTTGGACAAGTCAACTTTGTCCCCAGCTGTCCTAAGGCACTGCCTCTGCCCTTCGGTGTCCCTTCTTCCAGGAAGCCTTCCCATAACACCCACTTCTCCCTCTCACCCCTCCCCCCGCCGCCCCCACCAGCTCCCTTTCCAGTCCCAGCATGCCTCCCGCTGTGCCTTCATCCACTGGGATACTGAAGGCACCATGATCCCTTGGGTGGTCGCCGCTCTCAGAGATACACATTCTAGACAGAAAGCCCTTAAAATGCGAGACTGTGGTCAGCGCCGTTAAGAAATGAGTAAGATGCTGTGATAGTGACGGAGCATGGGGATGGTGAGAAGGAAGTGGAATCAGCCGTGGGTGAGAGGGTCAGGTCAGCTGTCTCTGAGGAGGTGACATTTAGGAGTCGATACCACGTTGTCACTCCTGGGGTGCCTGCTGCCTCCCCCAGTAAGGGCAGGCCCCCAGAGGAGTGTGTCAGTGAGCGGATGTATGGACCATATTCTAGAGCTGCTGTTTTTCTTCCTATCTTCTGTCCCACAGGTCCTTTGCCTAAGTTTTAGAATTACTATTATTTGTTAATGTGAGTGTATTTCTCAGAACACAAAGGCATCATCTGGCAAAGAACCATAGCCCCTGCTCCAGGGAAGATGCGTCAGGTTGTTGATGTCTTATGAGCCCAAGCGGTGGCACCCTTATTCCCACACGTGTGCTATGTACCATTCAGACATGAGACACAGATTCAGGCAGGTACAGGTGGAAACACCATCTGTCTTACTGTTCAAGGCGAATTCAGAAGCTAGAAGTTATATGAGCACCAAATGGGCTTGCTAAACACCCCAGAATTAAACAGACCAACCTGGCATCCCTGGGGCATCCTGGGGGCAGCCTTCCTGGAGGAGCAGGAGTGGGGCTCAGAACAGAACTGAGCCAAGCATGCCCAGTGGATTCCTGGTTCACCCAGGAGGGGAAGAGGAAAGGGGTGGAGGGGGCAGGGGCTCCATGGAGGAACTAGCAACATGGCAGGCATGGCAAGACGTTTCCCCCAACGCACACTGGTCTGGGACCCACTGTCAGACTTAAGAGGGCTTCCCCGGTGGCTCAGTGGTAAAAGAATCTGTCTGTGATGCAGCAGCTGCAGAAGACTCGGGTTCGATCCCTGGGTTGGGAAGATCCCCTGGAGGAGAGCATGGTAACCGACTCCATATTCTTGCCTGAAGAATCCCATGGACAGAGAAGCAGGCAGGCTACAGTCCATAGGGTCCCAAAGAGTCAGACGTGACTGGAGCAACTTAGCACGCGTACATGCTCATCAGACATAAGGTGGATATTGTCGGAGAAGGATAAGTTAGGATTTGGTTTGGTGGGAGGAATGGGTGGCCTGAGCCATAGCTAAGGACATGGTGCAGGTTTGGAGGAACCCAGAGAGACTAGCCCCGTGCAAAGGCTGGTTTGCTGGAGTTTGGGGTCTCCCAAGGGAGTGGGGGAGCAGACTTGTGGTGGAAAGATCTCAAGTGTCATCTAGGAAGACAGACTGAGTCTCACCAACGCTATAGAGGAGAGAGATGGTGAAGGATAGGGTGAGAAGGTCCCCAGGTTTCCTGAACCAGACGCAGCAGCCCACCTTCCCTGAGTTCCCCTGACCCCACGTACGTCCACCATTCTAGCCTGTTTCTCATTCATTCCATAGGCTTTACCCCTCCTGACTTCCCTAAGAAAGAGGGATGATCCATATGCCTATTTTACAGATGTGGAAACTGAGTCTCCAACTGAGTTCACCTGTGTTTCTGTAGCCAGGGCTGGTGGGCCCAATATTTTAAAGCTCTAGCTCATCTTCGTCTTCAGGACCAACAGGGAATATTCTCACGGAACACGGTTATTACCTGCAGTTGTGCAATGTTGGATGAGCATGCTTTGGCTCCCACATCTGTTGAATACAGAGAGCGACAGTGATAGCCCACCAGTTTGTGAGGAGCAGTGGGTGGGAAGGTGCTTTTTCCCTTTGGAGTGGGCTCCGTGCCCATTTCTCCCAGTGATGGAGCAGCTCATAGACTGCTGATCCCAGGCTCACAGAGAAAGGCAGCCAAGAGTCATTTGTCGGCTGTGATCTTTTAACGACAGGCCATCTTCACAAATGGCTGTTTCACTGCAGCAAGTGCCAGTAAAATAGGCACTCCCCAGTCCGCGGCTTTGATGTTGCTCCTGAAATTGATTGGCTGCATCTCTCAGCATCCAAGCGGCCGTTGTTCAGATTTTTTATTTGAGGGTAATTGCAGAGAAATGACAGTGCTTGGGGGCAGGTGGTGGTATGCCAAGAGCTGAGAGTCGTTTGATCTTGTTTCAGCCCTGGGAAGCCCCTCTAAGCTCGTGCAGCTGTCAAGATGGAGCAAGGGGGGTTGCTGACCACTGCCCCAGGACCCGTGGTCAAGCAGCGGGATGTCCCCAAAGGGACCACGGCTTCATGGCTGGAGCTGCAGAGCAGGCTGGGAGCACCTGCTGGGCACCCCCTTTCTCAAATAGAATCTGCATCAGATATCCCCCTACCCTTAGCCCCTGGTCTAGACTCTTCTGTCTGGAAAGGCTGGGGGAATTACCCACGGTCACACCAGCAGAGAGGGGTGGAACTGGGGCTCCCACACGGCATGTCTGTCTCCATCACCTGTGCCCTTTCTGTAACTGGGCTGGGTTTGTAGTGACTGGAAGGAGGCTTGTCTCCCAGCAGGACTGTTTGGTCCTCCTCCCCAAATCCCCTCCTTTGCTTCCACCTTTTTTCTTTTCCTTGGCCTCCTTGGCTTTCCCCTTTTCCTCAGCCCCTTCACCTCCTCCTGGAAGAAACCTTTTGTGGCCTTTTCTTTGGGCCTGGCCCTGTTCCAGGATCCTGCTCTTGAGACGTTCACAGTTTTAGATGAGCAGGCAATTTGTGCATGGATCGTTGAGAAGTTTGCCTCTTGCTTTCATATGAAAGCCCCCCTGACTACCCTGAGCTTTGCCTTGGATGAGGGGAGTGTGACTCTCTCACAGAGAGCTTGTGACTGATTCAGAGAGGAAAAGAGAGACCAGCAGAGGGATGAATGTGGGCCTCCTACCTGCCCACCTTTTCTGTCCAGCTGATGGGTTACGGAGTAAGGTGTCAGCTCTGGTCAGAGGAGCTGTCCAGGGTGGCTGGAAAGCACCCATTACCCTCCACAGACACCAGTCCTTCTGATGGGCTCATTACAAATGCACAGATGCAGACTTTCAACCTGGGGGATGTTGCCGGCGGGGGGCGGGGGGGAGTGTATGTTTTAGAATAAGTTAACCAAGTTCCAAAAGAAATCTCTGTCGAGGTTGAACTAAAATTAGAGGCTCATTTGAGAATTGTCTTCTCCAAAAAGCTGGAATGTTTCTTATTTTATGTGGATCTTCTTTTAGGATCTTTAATAGATTTTACATTTGTTTCCATTACATAGGGTGAACATCCATCTCAATGTGCTTGGGACAGTCCCAGTCTCCCCTTCACCCCTGTGTCCGTTCCCATTAGCTTTCCCTTATACTTTAAACTTGGGTGACAAATCCTAGGGTCACATATACCTAAGGTATTCCCTATGGTGATTCCCAGATGTGTTATAGGTTTGGTTGCAATTGTAAATGATGACTTCTTTCTAATTATGTTTGGGGCTTATTTGATACTGTTGTGGAAAAGTCTTACTAATTTTTATAAGTCTTTCCAGACTCCCTTCTTCTGTCTCTAGAGCCAGACCGCTGAGTCCAAGTCCTAGCTCTGCCACTTTCTAGCTGTGTGACTTTGAACAAGTTACTTAACCACTCTGTGCCCTCCCTACTGTACTCATCTTTCAAGTGTGATGGTAGACACACCTACCTCTCGGGAGTGTTGTGAGAATGCCTCTGTTGATTCTACTATTTTTATGCCTAATAATTTTTGTGCTAAGTGGTTTCATTCATGTCCGACTCTTTACAATGCTATGTACTGTAGCCTGCCAGGCTCCTCTGTTCATGGGATTTCCCAGGCAAGAATATACTGGGGTGGGTTGCCATTCCCTTCTCCAGGAGATCTTCCTGACCCAGGGATCGAACCAGCGTCTCTTATATCTCCCGCACTGGCAGGCAGGTTCTTTACCACTAGTGCCACCTGAGAAACCCATAATAATTCATACTGTATGCAAATAATCACAGTTTTGTAACCTCCCTTCTGATCCTTACACCTCAATTATTTTTCTTATCAGTTTGTGTCCTTGTCTGGTTATTCCATCAACTCTCTCATTTCCATTGGTTGATTTTTCTCTAGATTATGAATCATA